AGCACTGTGTGGAGAGCAGCTCCTAAGCACCACTAGATGTGGTTACAAACCAAAATAAAGAAACAAATTAAAATGCATCTTAAAAACACAAATTTGTAAATATTCTATGAAAGATTATAAAGTGCCTATCTCTATTCAGCCATGATTTGTACAAAACTGTGGGGTAATTGGCCACATAAATTATTCAAATTAAAACCACTTACATAGATATCATGACAAAATCTGAATTCCACTATCTGAAATAATTTCTTTTTAGGAGCTCTACATTTTCTGCATTGCCCTTTAAAGACTGTAGCCCTGCTTTTTTTTAATTTTTGGCAGTGGTGAGAGAGTGGGGCAGTGCTCAAGGGCTACTCTTGGTTCAGTGCTCAGGGATCCCTCCTGATGATGCTGGGGTTTCAGGGATCAAACTGGTGTCTGCTGTGTGCAAGGCAAGCACCTTAAGCCCTGTGTTATGTTTCTGGCCCCTTTAATAAAAGTTTTAAGTTAGCATTTCAACAGATGTGATAGCCATTAGAGGTCTACGTATATTTGAGTGGGCCACTTCCTTCACAAAGTTATATTCATTTCATTTCATGTATATCAGTCAGTATTCCTTGTATATTTGTGACAAACTGAATGCCTCGTCTTTTTCTGATTTGAATGGCTAGTTCAATTTGAAAACAAATTCCTCCTGACCTTGGAAGGATTCAGTTTCGAGACATTTACTTAGGAAGTTTAATAAACCCTGAAAAGCATCAGAACCTCAAAGATAGTAAATAAAATGGAGAAAAACTATAGAATTCACTTTTGCTTGATATTCAGAGAGAAATACAAATGCCAAAAGGAAGTAAGTAAAAGTATAGTCAGGATCGGTGTTCACATAAAAATTTCAAAATGCCTAGAGCATAGGGTAATACGTTCAATAGTTATGTTGGTAATAACACCTCGCCATACTATTGATATATTACTAGCTCCTTTCTCACAATAATTAATTTGATAGAGATTCCCAGAGAAACTTGTTCCACATTGATTTTCCATATTACAATTTCAGTCTCACATTATTCAGTGAAGTACGTAGGTAGTAGGTTATATCACATTATTATCTTGTATTGAATGGGAGACAGGTGCAGGATGGAAAGGATGAGAGGATATTATTAAATGAATGCATGTTCAGGTGAAGGATATATTTTGTTCAGTTTTTCTTGGAATCTGGGTCACAAGATCTTCCGCCTTATGCTTCCTTTACTGAGCATGTGGAGATGAAGTTTAAAGCACAAAAAGGTGCTGAGGGGGGGTTGCTGGTTTGTGAAACTTGAATTGTGGACCTTAAACTGCCCGGGCTTATCAGAAAGATGAACTCATGGTCTCCATATAGGGATGTGCATTTGAGAAAATTCCAGAATGAGCAAGCAATTGGTCAATGTTTGGATGTTATTGGACTTATTTGTGGTCAAATTTTAGAATCTGTCCATTTAGCAAAGTATCAAAACCCCAGATCATTAATGTTTGTGATTAACTGCTTTGAAGTGCTGTTAGTAGCATGCTTTATCTATTCCAGTCTGCTAGTGAATGAAGCTGTTTCTCCTGTGTAACAACTGTTAACTTCACATCTCCCTGTAGCTCCCATTTGCTTATTTACTCAGTTATATGTGTATATGTGTGTATATATGTGTATATGTGTATATATGTATATATTCATATATGTTTATATATACATATGTATATATATGTATATGTTTGGAGGCTATACCTAGAGGTACTCAGGGCTTACTCCTGGCTCTGAGCTTGGGGATCATATGGGTTACCAGGGATTAAACACAGATTGACTGCGTGCAAGGCAAGTGCTCTACCTGCTCTACCAGGTCCCTCCACAAATATTTTTGACTGTCTTCTGTATTAAGGACTGTGCTAGCAACTAGTGATTTGCATAGAGAATCAATACTTGTCCTTGCACTCAAGTTGATTTCAATCGAAAAGAGGGGACAGAGAAGTTGTAATGCCATAGGAACAACTAGAGCTCTACAGAAAACAACACACAACTCAGTAAGACTTAAAGAGCCATATTTAAGTCCTTTTATCAATATTTGTTTTCATTGTTATTTTAATTATTGGAAAATGTTAGTCTTTTGTTGAATCACATAGTCAGTATAAAATGGAAGAATAGATGTCCTTTCAAACTATTAAATCACTATGCAAATTTTGATATTTATATTAATTGTTCACCCTTGTGCCCATAATAAGTGCATTCATCAGGAAATTTCTACAACTTTTCTCTAAACAGGCTAGGGTATAAGCATATCTGAAAATGATAAAATTTGGTTTCATTGATTTCTAGTACGCATCCAGTTTACAAGCAATACTTGTATACTTGTCCAGCTCAGTTTTCAGTTTGTCATTTTTGTTAGGTTTGGCCTTTCTTCCACCTATCCATCTTATTCATAACTTACTTCTCAGCAATTTCAAAGTGATTACAGTTTCAAATGATTTTTTTTAAAGAAACGTCCTTATTTTTGGCTAT